CCTCAATAGAAAATATCATTGCGAATACCAAGTCTCACGCTTTCGAATTGAATTGTCTAGCTGTGATAATCGAGTTGCAAAGTTCAAGGTTCGTTCAATGTCAAGGTTGCTGGAGCTTTTCCATTTTTCAGCTATGATAATGCTATGGACCCACTTCATATCATAGTCCAAACCTTTCTAATTTACTTTTTGTTCTTCTATTATGCTAGTAAGGTTGCTTTTCTTTGGTTTTCCATGAGTTTTTCAACTAAAAAAAATGGCTGTAAATGAATCTATTCCTTTATGTGCTTGTATCATGTGTCTGTGGTTAATGGAGATAATGTACCTAAAAGTTTGAGACTAATCTAGGAAAGGCTAAGGCTAAATGTTGAGTAACTCACAGTCCTTACTTCAGGAACATGATCGATATTCAGCTTTCCACAACCTACTGTTCTTGAGTTAACTCCCTTTTGCAGATTTTTATACGCCCACATTTTCATGTGCAATAATTAATAGAATACAATATCCAAAAACTATCGTTTTATCCAACGTTTCGTCAGTAAAAATTCTAAATGATATTATTGTATATCAACTTATCTGAATATCAAATTTTCCCATCAAACCGTCTGTAATTGGTTTGTGTTACCTGTTTCTATTGATTGGAAGTTTCACATTTTCATGTGGACGTATATTGTCGTCACCCCTGTCCATCCGGACATCCGTCCGTCCACAATTTGTTTGTGGCCACTCTACAGGTCACAATTTTTATTCGATTTTGACGAAACTTGAAATGCATGTTTAAACCCAAAGATCTTGGTTTCTTTCGATATTTGCGCATATCGGATCGTAACTTCCTGAATTATGGCCCCTGATTGTACGAAAAATCACATTTTTAGCTTGTGGCCTCTCTAGAGGTCAAAATTATTATAAAATTTAAAAAATCGTTCGAATATATCATTGTTACACTGTAATGACGTTCGAATTTCGTGAAATTTGGATCAAAACTCTAGAGGTCATAATTTTGATTCGATTTTGATGAAACTTGAAATATATGTTTATAACCCAAAGATCTTGGATCCTTTCGATATTCGCGCATATCGGAATGTAACTTCCAGAATTTTGGCCCGTGATTATACGAAAAATCGCGTTTTTAGCTTGTGGTCCCTCTAGAGGTCACAATTTTTTTATCCGATTTAAAAAAACGTTTCAATATTAGGGTGACCCACCATAAATAAATATCTCCAAATATCTTGACAATTACGCCACAATATTTATATATATGCCAAGCCTCAAATCAGTTTCACACAATTATAGTCACTAAATAAACGATCATGTTGTACTTAATTAGCTATGACCATTAATCATCTATAAATAATAGACTGAAAACTGGTTCCAAATGTCGTCCATAACATCCAGACACTTTTGAGTAAAAGATAGGTTACGTGCCCTTGTTTTGAAATTAGTCTCGCTTAACCAGTCTATCGACCATTCTACGTCTGATTGACAGGTCGGAATAATCAAGACTACTTTTTTACGAAACGTAACAGAAAGCTAGAACAAGAAATTGAATTTAGAAATAAGCACTTTAGACAACTCAACAATTGTTTTAAGAAACTTGTAAAAGTAAAATGAAACTACTGCTAGTATCATGTTCCTGCTAAAGAAAGTGATTCAGAGATAGTATTTGTACTAAACCAAAAGATGCCGCTCTTAACGGTACAGTTAATGATAAAGCAATTTAAAAAATAAAACAAACATAATTTCTAAAGCTGCTGTAATAACCAAGAAGTTAAATTTTACTGCTATTCAAAATCTTCAACAATAGATTTTTTACGGCTGTAATAGTTGATATATTTGTAGAGAATTGCACGTGCCATGGCTATTTATCTACTCAAAGAGAGTGCGGGGTAGTCAGAAATCAGTTCGAGACACGCAACTGAAGCGTGCACAATTAGCCGTGTCGAGACCAACTTTCTGTAGAGTGCACGGGTCACCCTATCAATATATCACCGTTACATCCTAATGATGGTTGAGTTCGAATTTTGTGAAAATCGGACCAAAATTGTTGGACAAAATGGCTGCCCCTTGTACGTAAATAGCGTAAATATATGGTATGGCGTCATATTAAAATTAATCAACTGGCTGATGATCGCGTCAATGAGTAGTACTAATCAGTTGTCTTGGAATAATGATTAATGATTAGTTGATTGATAATTGCAAATATATATATATCCAGAAATATTAGGACAACCTAAAAGCTGCACTACTTTGTTTCATAGTAAAAGAAGAAAAGATAAAAGGTATGCTGACACAAACTGATTTCAACACTGGTTTAATATCATTTTAACATTTTAAAGTACTTTTCATCCGTCTTGGGACTATTCATAAATAACATCATTGTATAAAGATGGACAGTATAGTATATTTATACATAGTAACACTGTGGTTTTAACCCTTTCGATGCTAGACGGAAATCCACTGCCTGTGCTAGACCCTTTTTTGAGGAAAAAAGGGAGGTTGGAACTGAATGCCAAGCAGTACTTATGGAAGCTTTTATGAAAAATCTTTTTGTCTGTTGGGATGGGCATGAGGTTGGGCTAAGAGGAAAAAATAGAATTTTGGAAATTTGCATAATAATGTAGTCACGTGACGTCATGGCGGCCATTTTGGATTTCTCATTTCTCACTAAAGCTAACACGAAAATGAATTTTTCTCCATGAAATACTTGACAGATATTGTTTTTTTCACTGGATTTTGAAAAAGATATATAAAATGAACAAAAATATCAATAGCAGCCATGAGCAATGCCGCCACGAACACGCACATCACGTCTCCCGCTGCCATGACCACGTGCGGATTGCAATACCTTGTTTTTACTTTCACTTTCATCCCCAAGTCCCATATCATTATCAATATAGTCAGTCAATAGATCTACACGTTCGGGACTCAGGAATTGCCCATGTCTTTTACGATCCAGCAGGCCAGCATTATTATCAACATCAGAATTATTGTCAGAATCTACTGCAGACACAGGGCTATCGTGTTCACATTGGGCTTGTTCATCATGCACGGGAGACATAGCTAGCCATGGGCGGAACGTCGCGCAACAAATCACACACTTCATAATACCAATCACTGTCCTGACTACTATCATTATCAAGTAACTGGAAACGAATTATGTGTATCACCCGCCTCGAAATTGTCCATGTGTTGGTCAGCAAGACGTCATTCACGACTTCGTCGAGAGTGCATCGTCTACGTTGTCACTATGCACTCCGCCATTTTACGGTTTGCCGCTTTGAAACACGTGGAAATATGTTCTAGTGTATAGAAAATACAATAGATGGCACTTGCAGTTACGGTACTAATTTTAGCGAGGGCTTTACTGAGTACACGGTAATACCGGGTACGCACATTTTACCGACATTTTATAATACCCGGTACTACCGGGTATACGCAGTGAAAGGGTTAATTGGCTTTTGTTACCATTGTCTATAATTACATAGTATATCAGTAACTAATAGAAAACATGCACACACTAGGAATAATGAGTGGAAGATAATCCTGGGATAGACTTAAGAAAATAAATGAAGTTAATGGCCAATTGTTACTTATTGACGAGGAATTTTTTTTTTTAATAAAATGGTTTACCCTTAATTTCGTTTTCGTGATGTTATCAGTTTTCATTTTTATACGCCCACATTGAAATGTGGTCGTATATTGTTGTCGCCCCCGGCCGGCCGGCCGGCGTCCACAATAGCTTGTGGACGCTCTATAGGCTAAAGTTAATAAGGTCATGAGTCGAAGAATCCTATTGATTTTCAACGATTTTCGATAATTACTGCCAGAGTTATGGTCCTTGATCACTTCAAAAAATCTTGTGGACGCTCTAGAGGTCAAAGTTAATATTCGATTGACTTTAAATTTATACACAGTGTTTAAGGTCATAAGACGAAGAAGCCTATTGAATTTCAGTGATTTCCGATAACTACTGCCAGAGTTATGGCCCTTGATCACTTTGAAAAATCTTGTGGCCGCTCTAGAGGCTAAAGTTAATATCCGATTGACTTTAAATTTATACACAGTGTTTGAGGCCATGAGATGAAGAATCATAATGATTTTCAACGATTTCGGATAATTACTGCCAAAGTTATGGCCCTTGATCACTTTGAAAAATCTTGTGACGCTCTAGAGGCTAAAGTTATCATCCGATTGACTTCAGATTGATACACAGAGTTTAAGGTCTTGAGACGAACAAGTATATTGATTTTCAATGAATCTTTATGACTTGAACAGCTAAATCCATGATGTTAAAAGTTTCGTATACTAAACGTTAGTATGGGCCCAAACTTTATAAAAACCAAACAAATCCTAATTGTTTTCTGATAATTACTTAATTAGTTGTTACTCTTAATCAGATTTTAATGTATTATAAATGTTTCATTACCGAAAAAAGTAAAAATATGCGACAACTCTTGTTGACTGCCCAGACGACATAGCTGCTGTGGGCGTATGTTTCGTTGCCTGGCAACCTATCTTATAAAATGGGAAAATTTGGAATTTTACTTTTACATTTTCAATATTACAATCCTGTCCATGGTTGCGTATTCTATCCCGTAGATGTGTGCTTGTCTCCCCGATGTAGAAATTTTGACAACCATTGCAATTCAGGACATACCCGGTAATTTTAGTTTCCAGAAATACCCCCCTTTTCTGAAAACACTGTAAACACAATAGAGGTCAGATGTCTCAAAAGCATATCAAATTTGATCAACTTAAAAATTTTCCTTTCAGATAAGCAGCTGTCAAGACATATTGAATGTGTTTACATATTTCCATGTTTTGTGTGTCTGTCTTTTTCAAAATGAATGTAAGGCATGAGACAATGCAAAATGTGGAGGTATAATAGAGATCAGATTTCATGATAAGCTGCTGTAGGTTGCTGTGTGGGCATATTTCCACGCATTGCATGGATATTTTTGGTGAACATTTTTAACCAACTTATTAGTACTATTTTAAAGGTAGATGTTCTTAGAGCTCTAGGAGCCGAAATTGTACGAACTCCAACAAGTGCTGCATTTGATTCTCCTGAATCTCATATTGGTGTAGCTAAAAGATTGATGGAAGAAATACCTAACTCACACATTTTAGATCAGGTAAAATTAGTAATCTTCTGCTTCACAAATTTTATATTTGCTAAATAAACCTAATGCTGACATAGTCCAGTAGGAGGACGACAAACTTGGAAATGCAGTCCACCTAATGTGTTTTGATGGCTTATATATCTTTAATATGTATAGTTTCAAAAACCAGATGGGGAAATTAAGATATTCAAGATGGCAATCCTTTAGATTTCAGAACATCTTTTATCCACTCAGAAACCTCATCTTCGGTTTTACCTATACACTTTGGAAAAAGACCTAACTCTCTTAGTGTATTACCCAAGACCAAAACTTCCTCCTGCAACATATTTGAACCAATCAACTGCCCAAACTACACATCAGAAAAATTGACTAGATAAAATAAAGACAATACAATTTATAATGTATTACTGGAATAACTGTTCTATATTTTGGTATAATGCAACGTGAATTGAATGATGTTCTATGGTCTATCAGTAATTACGTATTTTTATGCCCTAACTTATTTAAAATTTACCGATTTATTTATTAATACCGTTAACGTCCATACTTACAATCATACATGCCACATTAACAGACAATATTAAAAGAGAAATGAAACAATTAACACTATAAATTAATCAATAGTTCATAAAATATTAATGTTCAATCTTCACTGCTACCCGGTTCCTACCTTCATACAGAATCTGTCATAATTTCAGTCCAAGTGGTCTAACACAATCACAAAGGTACAACGAGAAATCAAGCTTGATATGAATAAATTCTAATTTTCAATGTCAGTAATTAAATGCCAACAGATTCAAGTTTTACAATAAGTTCATTGAAAAGTAAACAGTTCAACTTGTTACAATCAAGAAAAATCTATTCCTCCCTGGGGGCTACATTATTGCACACCTACCCTTTCAATCACCTGCAATGGTGTGGTAAAAAGGTGGTAGGTAAAACCTGCGTTGTTTGGGGCAATAGATTTCTTGATTGAGAACAAGAGAAAGTGTTTTAAATAAGTTTATATATCCCACAAATCACAAATGATACAGTTTTATATTATATTGAAAAGATGAATTAAAATGCGTAAATGTGGAATAGGGTGCTAGTTTATCTATACCATAATACCATGTACCATAACCATTAAACAACACTTATGCTGGCATTACACATGACTATAAACACAAAACATTTTATGCTTGGCCCTGAAAATACAAAGTTGCCATTGTTCATATGTTCATAACCAATAGTTCTATTGACTATACATCTTATAATTTTACATTACATTATTACATCTATAATCATATTTCAAACACATGTAAAAATATTCTCACACTTCCCTTTCAAAGTCACCTTATCTATTAAATGAAGTATAAAATAATTAGCTTATTTGTGGAAAAGAGCCAATGTATGACCTTATCTGCTAACCAGTAATGTGGTAAAGATGCATGCATGTATTTTAGTTTTATCCCAGCTACACCTACAAATAACCAACCAGGACTAAGAATCACATATCACCTGATAAACAACATTTTCAGAAAGAGAACAACTTGAGAACTGAACTATACCAAAAATATTAAAACTAAACCCATATAAAGAACTAAAACATTTCAAACACTAAAATAAAACACCACAATCCGGACAATACAATTCCAAACTCATACAATAGAAAATCCACCACCCACGACATTTAAGCTAATTTATATTGTCTCAAAACCCAAAATATAAACTCACTAATTCAAAACTTTCAATAATAAAGACACTGTCCTGGACATCAATTGACAGAGTCCCAAAATACGACCCTGTTACATTATAGAGGACATCGCTGATCACCTGCTTGAAACCAGCCTTTTCAGTTGTGTAAAGTGGTAGCATATATCTTTACACAGGAAATTTTAAATAAGAAATACCATTGTGAATTACTTTGACCTGGGGTGAATCTACTGGATAGGGTCAAATGCTTCCACAATACAAGGTTGACGTTTCTAGAGGTTTACCCACAGTTCCGTACATGAAAAGGCCAATGACTCGCCGTAACGGACCGTTTCATTGGCTATTGCCTCACATCATTCAGAACACGTCTATGATAACAACTCTTCTAGATCCTAGTGTAGTAGAGACAAGTAAAACAAAATTTTGAACTATGAAAGCGAAACGAAATAGGATCTATGTTTTATTCAGATTGCAACGATTTATACTCAAATAATTTTAATGCATTGATAAATTATTGTGTTGGGATCTATTCCCTTAATATAGTCAGAGAAATCATTAAATAACTTTGTGTGCATGAGAAGCTAGCAAGCTGCAGATGGCATGTGGGCCTATTTTTACAAGTATTCTAGCTATAAGAGCAATAATATAGGTTTTTTGGCACAGGGGTATAGTAAGGGTTTGTTGATGGATGAACAATAATAATAACAAAATTGATTATTAATTACTTTATTTAATGTTGTTTACATTTACTGACATAATTAGTGCACAGTATACTGTTAGGCTAATTGTACATTGGTATTATAATTTTCATGTGATAAAATATACAGTACGGTCGCCAAACCCAAAATTTCTATTGAACCTGGAACCCCCGCTAGGGATGTATGTGGTGTTATCCTATCACTCATACGCTCTTATGTCCAGAAATATATAGTTTGTCTCTAGATATAGTTTGGTTCAGTGAAATAATCGCCCCCAACTGCCGCTAACGAGTTAAAGGGCCATATTGTCTGGCATGTTTGATTTTACTATCATCTAATCACCCCACAACATAATAAATGATTTCAGTTTTTTATTCCTTCACCCCAGAAACATACTGTTAGACACCAAAATTATCATCCTACAATAAATACTATGGAAGCTGTAGGGGATTATTTGATGTGGCGGCCGTCTCGGATGCCATCTTGAATGTCTCAAAATGCTCAAGGGTGACCGAGGTTCACCCGGCAGATTCTGAAAGAGGACACCCTAGGCTACTAAAATCAATCATAAAAAAAAACTTTGTATACAATTTCCAGGTTCAGCTATAGTTCTGCCGGACTATATACTGTGACAAATTTGTTCCGCGGTGTACCATCTGCACATCCCTAGTTACAGCACAGGACTATATTATGCGTCATGAAATTTCTTGGAGAATCCAAGATCCTTATTAAATTTGATCAAAATGTAACTTTTCCATTCAGACAAGCTGCGTGGCAATCTATCAAATTAGATGTGAAGCATTTGAGTTCATGAGATATCAAACCCTATCGAAATTCAATGATCTCTAACCTGCATTCCTCAGTTAACCACCATCTGAAAGCTTCTGAACATGGTATAGGGTATATATTTTTCGAAGGCACATGCCTTATGTGGTGAAAAAAAAGTTTTCCTTTCGGATAACACTGAGAAGTAGTAAAGGTGAGATTTGTACGTTTAGGGCATAGATATCTCCCGATTTGATAAATTTCTATGAATATCGGTAAAATTCTAATTATCGCAACAAATCTAATACGAAGAGGCTAAAATCTGTAGGTACGGTGTGTTAATTAACAGGGGTGAGAAATTGACAGAGTGGTGATATAATTATCGCTAGGGGTGAAAATCTCGGCGACGGTGCGTTTTCTGTACCGGTGTGTTAATTAACGAACGGGTTAAAAACGACTGACTCGAAAGCGTGTTATAATAACTGCACCAAAGTTGTTTTATCAAGGACCAACAGGCTTTACCTGACGCGTAGGTGTTAAATCCTTGTTTCCGTGTGTTTTAAGCAGATCGGTCTTTTTTAAGTGTAGGTCTTTATATATGGATTTATACGTGCTGTAGTTACATTTGTTCGTTCTTATACGTATTTCATTTCTTGGTGAATACTACGTGTTTTATACTTCGTACCATAGTCGGGCTGCAATTATTTATATATTTGTCTTTTTTGTGGGTTTAATTTGTTTATATATTATCCTGCGTACCACTGAAGTATAAATGCGTGTGTCTTAAAATCAGTCGCATGCAATATCGTTATTACCGATATCCCGCTAAACCTTCATATGATTATCCGATATATTCTAATCTCTTGATATCAGATGCTCTAATCTGTTTTGAAAGCACAATTATAAACAAAAGATCTCGCAATTAATGATAACCTGTAAGTTTCGTCACCGTTATATTTTATAAATGTATTTCTCACCTGGGTCGTAAATAGGGCTATCCAAGGAAACAGAATTCCATCACTATATAACAATAGATAAATCACATACCAAATAACACTAATCATGTCTAATAATAGGAACTCACGTCCGCCTCCAACACGTTGAGCTGACCGTCGAACATCTTCTGGTATGCTCTGATTCCATCACACTTTGTGTAACAAGCTTGTCTTTGCATACACAATTCCGACCTATGGAAATATGGGTTTTACGAGAACGGCTAAATTTAAACACATCACTTAATAGTGGATTCAGTCTCATCCTTATTATAGAATTTATACTATCAGGAGAGCACGCTTTTCACACGAAATATTGCCCTTTGATCTCAGACCCCCTTTGATCTCAGACCGAAAGGCGACACTGTTAATGGATTTCCTGAAATAGTTGGATGGAGTGTGACTCTTTTTACCTGTTACACTTAATTCAAGAATGACATGCTGTGGTCTGTTCAGTGTTGGTCTTATTGCAATGACATAAATGTATGTTTTACTTCTCTTATCATCTCATTTGAATAAAGCTTGATATTTTATCAACATGTATACAATTTATTTTGTTTCTCATAGGAAATTTCGGTTAGTATCTCAAATGAAAAAAAACAAAAAAAAACAACCCAAGCGATTATATTATAATCAGAGAAATGTTCAAACACACAAGTAAAATAGACAAGACAAAGGTACAAGCAATACCATTATTTATTATTACATTATTGAAATGCATATGCCTTCATATATTAAACGTTTTAATTAAATTGTAACGTATAAATTATCTGCTTTATTTATTTTTTCTTTAATTGGCAGTTGATATGGGCCGAAGCATTCGCTTCTATGCGTATTAGCTCTGCTCCCATAATGATATTTTGTGTAATATTAGGGTGTTTCAAAAGAAACATGGTCAACAAGTGGAATTTAACAGTGAGCTAGAAGGAAATATTCAAAAAGGCCGTCAATTCTTTTTGAAGAGAATTAATTATTTGGATAGGTGATTGCATGCTTTTATAAATAGACACATGGAGCCTGTGCTCTCGATCTGTCATCACGTTGATAAATCACATAATAAAAATTGGATCCACTGGACCCGTAGTTTATTAGTACCGGGAGAAAAATAATAAAGCTATTTCATACAATCGTAAACAATAGAAATATTAACAAGTGTTTAAAATTAGCTGTTCTTGTAAAGCCTCTATTTCCATATTAAGTCAAAGGTCAATGGACAATATCACCGCCGGCGCATGTCCCTATTTGCATTAGTGTTATTTGATATGTGAATTATCATTTGATATATATGTGGAAATTAAATTTTTCTTGGATAGTCCTTTATACAACCCAGGTAAGAAACAATACATTTATGCATTAAAACGCCCACGTGTAGTAAATATAGACATGACGAAACCAATAGTTTTTCATCATTTGCTCGATTTTATATTTATAAACTTGGTTTTCAAAACAGATTCATTAGTCTGATATCAATGGAGATTGGTCCGGATATCGGTAAATAACGTGCATTTATACTTCAGTGGTCCGCACGATAATATATAAACAAATTAAACCCACAAAAAAGACAAATATATAAATAATTGCAGCCCGACTTTGGTACGAAGTATAAAACACGTAGTATTCACCAAGAAATGAAATACGTATAAGAACAAACAAATGTAACTACAGCACGTATAAATCCATGTATAAAGACCTACACTTAACAAAGACCGATCTGCTTAAAACACACGGAAATAAGAAATCGCACGGTAAATTGGATTTAACACCTACGCGTCGGATAAAGCCTGTTGGTCCTTGATAAAACACCTTTGGTGCAGTTATAACACGCTTTCGAGAAAACTCACCAAACAAAGAATACACACCGTGTCAGTCGTTTTTAACCCGTTCGTTAATTAACACACCGGTACAGAAAACGCACCGTCGCCGAGATTTTCACCCCTAGCATAATTATATCACCACTCAGTCAATTTCTCACCCCTGTTAATTAACACACCGTACCTACAGATTTTAGCCTTTTCGTATTAGATTTGTTGCGATAATTAGAATTTTACCGATATTCATAGAAATTTATCAAATCGGGAGATATCTATGCCCAAAACGTACAAATCTCACTCTTACTACTTCTCGGTGTAAGGTGCTCTCTATTGCAATCTATTTATTCAAGTCAAAGCTTCTGTGTGGGCATGTTTCCACGCTTCAGGTGGCTATCATACTTTTTTTTTCTCTCCTTTTTTTGTAGTATCGTAATCCCAGTAATCCACTTGCTCATTATGATGGTACAGCTGAAGAGATATTAGCAGCATGTGACAGTAAGTTTGAAATATCAAAATTACCATTTGACAGAGTATTATTTGCAGAGATTAAAATCTGACCTCCTCTACTAAACCTTTCCATCACATGGAAAAAACAGGTTAGCTGTTGGTGGCTTTTGTTTATGAGTTTATCAACTTTCTAATGGCACTAGGGCATGGTTAGTATACAAATGATGAAAAACGTGTGAAATACCACTCTTTATCCAGTAGACGTGGTACAAGGGTTAATCAGCGAACTGGATGTATGAGATGTGTTGTTGACGTTTGGGAAAGTAGGACGAGGGGAAATGTGTAGGGAGTGAAGTGCTGTAAAGGGATAGTTAGATGTATTATGAATGGTTAGAGTGGCTGTGGTGTTACGGTGAAATACTATGCCGCCACCGTAACACCACAGCTTTATGATTTGTTAGACAGGAGTGATGTAATGGGTGTCAACAACTGGGTATGCTGGTACCGTCGCAACGTAGCCGTGAAATATATATTGTGGGGGGAAAGGGCGGAAACAGAAAAATATACAATGTTGACAGTATGTGCCAGGCATGAGGCTGCGCAGACCGAGCGGCAGCTCGATAGGGAGTGTGTGGGAGGGTCACCCTCATAAAAAATTTTTTTTTTAAATTTCAGTTTTCTGTAAGCAGTGAAAACACTATTTTGGCATTGTTTGCGGGGTTAAACCTAAAAATCACATTAATACACCTATTGCACGATATTGTGAAACTAGCTGACGAAGACAGCTCGGGCGGCGATTGTTCGACTCGGGGCTGCTCTGTCAGTATCTAACAAACGCATTTAGTTCGCGTACAACTTTTAAAAACCGAATGTCAGTATGGTATTTCTCACATAATTGGTTATCGCAAAAACAGAGTAAAGTGAAAGCGAGTAATCTCGACTCAAACCTATAGTCTATAGCCTACTTACTACACTAGGCTTCCTATATTATTGTTTGTGGACGGTTTACTACTCAGTGATAAGCCTGCGCCGCAAAAAGAGGTCTCGCCTTTTATTATTAGTATAATGACTTCCTCATGTGCGGCAGGTTAGTTTGCTTCTAAAAACACTGTTTTCCGTTCCAAAAAATACAAAAGTAATTTTCTACCAGATGACCATGGTTCTTTTCACCGAGACTAGATAATTTCTCTCGGTGTAAGGATATAGCTATGGATAAGTTCATACAAGGTCAATAAATCCGCGGTCACTTCGGGTCACACTGTTGAGAAAATAAACCGATGGGTTTGTTTAGTAGCAAATCGAGCGTGAATCAACTGAGTTTGTACTGAAAAATTTTTGAGTGATATGTATGAACTGTCTTCACACATTCGGTTTATAATTAGCGATACACAGGTACAGTGGCAAGTGTTGTACTTCACAGACTGTTTACCTCCGAACTACCTCCGCACGAAATCCCCGATTTGGGTACTTGTTAAAAGAAAAAGAAATAGTACCTGTGCGCATGCCAGTAAAAAAAACCTAAGAGTTCGCGCATAAAAATGCCCGAACGTACCAGGCGCCAGGTCATCCTGTAGACGTGGTACAAGGGTTAATCAGCGAACTGGATGTATGAGATGTGTTGTTGACGTTTGGGAAAGTAGGACGAGGGGAAATGTGTAGGGAGTGAAGTGCTGTAAAGGGATAGTTAGATGTATTATGAATGGTTAGAGTGGCTGTGGTGTTACGGTGAAATACTATGCCGCCACCGTAACACCACAGCTTTATGATTTGTTAGACAGGAGTGATGTAATGGGTGTCAACAACTGGGTATGCTGGTACCGTCGCAACGTAGCTGTGAAATATATATTGTGGGGGGGAAGGGCGGAAACGGAAAAATATACAATGTTGACAGTATGTGCCAGGCATGAGGCTGCGCAGACCGAGCGGCAGCTCGATAGGGAGTGTGTGGGAGGGTCACCCTCATAAAATTTTTTTTTTTTAAATTTCAGTTTTCTGTAAGCAGTGAAAACACTATTTTGGCATTGTTTGCGGGGTTAAACCTAAAATTCACATTAATACACCTATTGCACGATATTGTGAAACTAGCTGACGAAGACAGCTCGGGCGGCGATTGTTCGACTTGGGGCTGCTCTGTCAGTATCTAACAAACGCATTTAGTTCGCGTACAACTTTTAAAAACCGAATGTCAGTATGGTATTTCTCACATAATTGGTTATCGCAAAAACAGAGTAAAGTGAAAGCGAGTAATCTCGACTCAAACCTATAGTCTATAGCCTACTTACTACACTCGTCACTAGGCTTCCTATATTATTGTTTGTGGACGGTTTACTACTCAGTGATAAGCCTGCGCTGCAAAAAGAGGTCTCGCCTTTTATTATTAGTATAATGACTTCCTCATGTGCGGCAGGTTAGTTTGCTTCTAAAAACACTGTTTTCCGTTCCAAAAAATACAAAAGTAATTTTCTACCAGATGACCATGGTTCTTTTCACCGAGACTAGATAATTTCTCTCGGTGTAAGGATATAGCTATGGATAAGTTCATAAAAGGTCAATAAATCCGCGGTCACTTCGGGTCACACTGTTGAGAAAATAAACCGATGGGTTTGTTTAGTAGCAAATCGAGCGTGAATCAACTGAGTTTGTACTGACAAATTTTTGAGTGATATGTATGAACTGTCTTCACACATTCGGTTTATAATTAGCGATACACAGGTACAGTGGCAAGTGTTGTACTTCACAGACTGTTTACCTCCGAACTACCTCCGCACGAAATCCCCGATTTGGGTACTTGTTAAAAGAAAAAGAAATAGTACCCGTGCGCATGCCAGTAAAAAAAACCTAAGAGTTCGCGCATAAAAATGCCCGAACGTAACAGGTTCCAGGTCATCTAGAACCTAATACACATGTTCAGTTAACAGATTACAATCAAGATTGTTTTGAAATTGATGTATGTTGTTTACGTTAGTGAGATGAAGAATCCTATTTAATTTCAATAATTTCTGTTCTGGCCCTTGTTATCCCGCACGAAGGATTTAGGGAGGAATATTGAAATGAGGTCCGTCCGTCCCAGAACACATCTCATAAACCGTTCTAGTATTACAGTAGTTTTGCCTTTGCTAATTAGGAATTCTGGGATTTATATGTTTTGTGTTTCCATGGAAACAAATTTGACTTGGTTTTTTGGTGTACAGTTTTGTTTCTGGAGCATATCTTCCTGAAACTTTGTACAAACATCAACCTTATAAAGTAGTTGTGACTTTTGCTAATTTGGAATTTCTCAGATTTAATCATTTTTATACGCCCACATTGAAATGTGTTCGTATATTGTCGTTGCCCCCGTCCGTCCGGCGTCCACAATTGCTTGTGGACGCTCTAGAGGCTAAAGTTAATATTAAGGTCATAAGACGACAAAGCCTTTTGATTTTCAGCGATTTTGGATAATTACTGCCAGAGTTATGGCCCTTGATCACTTCAAAAAATCTTGTGGACGCTCCAGAGGCTAAAGTTAATATCCGATTGACTTTAAATTGATACACAGTGTTTAAGGTTATGAGACGAAAAAGCCTATTGATTTTCAGCGATTTCGAATAATTACTGCCAGAGTTATGGCCCTTGATCACTTCAAACAATCTTGTGGACGTTCTAGAGGCTGAAGTTAATATCCGATTGACTTTAAATTTATACACAGTGTTTAAGGTCATGGGACGAAGAAGCCTATTCATTTTTAATGATTTCCGATAATTACTGTCAAAGTTATTGCCCTTGATCGCTTTGAAAAATCTTGTGATGCTCTAGAGGCTAAAGTTAGGTCTTGAGACGAACAAGTCTATTGATCAGTGGCGGCGCCAGCCGTCGGTGATTGGAGGGGCAAAGCTGGGGCAAAGTCCAAGGTTAAGGTGGCAAAGGCATGAGCTTCAACTAAGGGTAGGGGGCCTCCCCCAGAAAATTTTGAAAAACAGGTTGCCGGAAATGTAGCCTGGCAGTATTTCAGGCACTGATCGATGAGTCAAACGAACGGACTTGCGAATCACGCTGAAGCCCACTCACGAGCGTCAAAGTAGGGAGTCCTCCCCCAGAAGAAAATGTCAAAGAAACGGACTTGCAAACCACAACAAATTCCCCTTGTGAGCGCCAAAGTAGCGAGTCCATTGGGGACCTCGCCAAGAAAATTTTGAAAAATAGACTGTCGGAAATGCTCTACAACATGCAAGTTTATGACTGAGTGGGGATGTGGGATTTATTCACCGTAGAAGGTATTAATTACCAAAACGTATCACAAATACTTTTTTTTACTTTCTAAAATTATTGGGGGGGCAAACAGAGGGCAGACCAGATTAATGGGGGGGCAAATGCCCCCCCCCCTGGCGCCGCCACTGCTATTGATTTTCAATGAATTTTGATAACTTGAACAGCTAAATCCATGATATTAAATAAATGTTTCGTATACTAAATGTTAGCATGGGGCAGAAATTTATGAAAACCAAACAAATTCTAATGATTTCCTGATAATTACTTAATGAGTTGTTACTCTTAATCAGATTTTAGTGTATTATAAATGTTTCATTACCGAAAAAATTAAAAATATGCGACAACTCTTGTTGACTGCCCGGACGATTTAGCTGCTGTGGACATATGTTTCATTGCCTGGAAACCTATCTTTATCAAGCATCTGGCAATCAGTTGTTCATCACTCTGCTTAACCAAAGTAAAAATAATCATTGTCCAACTTAGTCAGGATGTTGATATAATGAAACTATACACAAAGTTTTATCTCCTTCCCCCCTCAACCAAGGTGGGGTGGGGGTGGGGGGGGGGGTGGATGGTTAACACCTGCGCGCAGTATCATAAGGTCTGTCTTGGAGTCTAGAGTTATGTTCCTTGTGTCACTTTGTTGCACCTTGGAAATGCTCTAACATCAAAAGTTATCTGCCGATCAGTATGAAATTTACATGCGTCATTTAAATTAGCAAAGAAAAGAATCCCATTGTATTTCAGCAATTTCATGTTTATTACTTCTACTAGTTCTAGAGTTATGGCCCTAGTTTCAC